CTAAAGCAGGGTGACATATCAGTGAAATTGCTCGATGGAGGAGCAGTGAAGATCCAAGGGTGTGCTGGAAGCTTTAGCCGTTGGGTTTGGTGATCAGACTAGGACAGTCGAGGCCTACGTCTTAGACTCTGCTCACTGGGAGTTGGTTCTACCACGATGGGTACTGGGTAACTGTGTTTGGGTGATGGCTGGTAACGACTACCTACTCTTCGATGAGGTTGAGGTCAACCCTCACGGGGGAGTGCAGGAGGCGAGGGAGATAGGCGCTAATGCAGTCGAGAGAGACCGATCTCTCCCGACACGAAGAGTGTGGCCAGCTGTCGTGAAGGTCCCTTGGATTGATGATCGTAGACCTAAGCAGAATTATGATGCCATCAGAGGCCGAGATTTGAAGATCACACAGAGGCTGGCCAAGAGACCTGAAGAGTTAGCAGCGTATGAAGCGGCCGTGGACGAGCTCTTGAAGTCCGGGGCGGTCGAGGAACTCCCACTGGGGGAGGACCCGAGGAAATGGGCTTACCACTATATGTGTGGGGTTCCGGTTTTCGCCAATCAGCGAAAGTCCACTCGCTGTCGTATTTGTATCGACGCTCGAGAGCTTAACAACTTCACGAATAAAGAAGGAGACGAGGAGGCCGCGGACATGGACCTACAGTCACGGATTCTAGAGTGGCGAGCGTCCAAGCGAGTTGATTGTGAGGATCTCAAGAAGGCCTTCTGGTCGGTCCACATCGATAAATCGGATGTGAAGTGGTTGGGGATGTGCGTCGGGTCGAGGATCATAAGGTGGATCCATGTCCCTTTCGGGACGAATTGGTCCCCTTGGGCCCTGTCTTCGGTCTTGGGAAAGATTCTCAAACAGATCGGGGGGACGGGCGGTGCCGAAGCTATCTCCTTCTATGTCGACGATGTACTTCTGCGAGGGGACAGTTGCTCGGAGGTGTCGAAGATTCGTCGGGAGGTGGTTCCCGCATTAGAAGAGCGGGGGTTCGAAGTCCACCAGGACAAGCGAATGTCCAATCTCGACACGGATGAGACTGTATAGGTCGAGGGGTATCTAAGAGAAGATCTCAGTGAGAAGTCAGAACAGAGGTTGCTCGGTACGACTGGCTCTGTGGCGAGCGAAT